TTGGGGGGCAGACAGGGTGGGGCTAGAGTGGGGAAATGGATGGCAGGTAGTAGTTGTGACGACTATAGTGGTAGAATGGCAGTTAGTGGTGGATTGGAGTAGGGTAAGGCGGGGCGGGGCGGAGCGGGAAGGTAGGGTGGGTAGGGATAGGTGGTATCCACCCAAACTAGGGCTTCTATGCTCTCAATTTTGTTCGCTATAATAATGGAACTCAAGAGGTTTATTTATACTAAGCCATAGGTGGTATCCCAATTTCTATCCCAATATTAAAAGCCAAGAAAATCATCCTTATCGTCGCACACGGCCAGGACGAATTATAAGATATGGTCGAGTCAAAACACCCAGAAGTTTATGTTTACAAAACAACACTACTTACGACCGTGTTGGATCATAAGGTCCTGCCATGCCAAAACATCCAAAAGTTTATGTTTGCAAGATTACATTACGCACACATGTACATAAATATAATACGCGGTCATGCCATAAACTACATAATTTTATAATTTGCAGATCATTGTTTCGTATCACAATTTTCAACATCTAAGACCCCATATTAGTCGTTAATCATTTTCAAGTTGCATATATAGGCATGGACCATTGCCTTTGTTTATATAGCATCTATGTATCCCCTTGTGTGCTCCAAGGTTTCTTACTGTTTGTAGAACTGAATTGGATTTGGAATTGAATTCCATTCCAGCCTCATGTTTGGTTTGAAAGATTTTTTTAATTTGAAATCTTACAAACATAAGATTTTGAAATCCTAGAGAGGATGGTATTTCTCGAGATTTCATAGGATTTGTATGTAATAATTTTTTTTAAATATGTTAAAAACCTTTATTTCATAATAATCAATTAAAAAAAGAATAATTTAAATATTTTTGTATTTATAGTTTGAGTTTTTTATAAATTATTTATAAATAATAGAATTCAATTTCATTGCAAACCCTACAAACCAAATACACCAAAGATTCCAAAATCATCGAAACCATTTCATTAAACAAAACAGCCCTTAATAGGTGTTCTTTTCCGTTTATATTCATTTTGATCCTTGCGGTACATCGCAGTATCAGATGGTCCCTGTTGTACTTTGTTTTGGTATTATATCTTTATATTGTTTTTCAAAGAGAAAATCTCAAGTGCGGTTTGAACGGAAAATCAGACTTCATTTGCAGTTAACATTTCGATTTGGTTGATGGTTAATTGTATATATGAAAAATATATTTTACATCAGAATTGATTCTATAATAAACCCTACAAATCAGTAATCATCTCATTCGATTAAAAGTCTTTGAAGTTACAAAAACTAGAAGCAAAGAAAAATGCAAATGAGTCGATACTCATACCATGAAAGCTGTTGGGATTTTCGTATTTAGTTCATTTGGTTTGGAATGTTTTGTTTTATTTTATTTTAAATATAAATATGTTTTATTTATAAAAAAATTAGGGAAAAGTCCAAAAAAAACTCAATGGACTTTATTGTTTGGAACAATTAAGTCCTTGGACAATTTTTTGGAACAAATAAATCCTTGGATATTCTAGAATCTATTAAATAACTCCTTAACTTTTTAAAACATGTTAAATAGATCCTCATTGTTTAAATATGTAACTTATAACCTGAATAGAAGGTAAACCTTAGATTGTAAAAAAAACTAAAAAAAACCCTAAAAAATATGACTACCCATATTCCCTCATCTTCTTCCTCTCGTCACCGCTGCTCCCTCCCGTCTCCTTCCCGTATCCCTCTCGTCGCTTAATGCCCACACACCATCGTCTCCCTCTTCCCCATCGCCGGTGCACCACCCTCGCCGCCGCCGCACCACCCCTGTCGACGCCCCTGTCGCCGCCGCACCACTCCGTCGCCGCCATGTCTCCGCTCGTCTAATCAGGTTTGCTCCAAAATTGTTTAATCATATGATTACATTTTTGCATATAAATCTTACATTTGTTAAAACCTAATGAATGAAGAAGGTTTCTTGTCCATTAACATCTAATTGAAATCACAAGAAGCATCCATGGATGCCTAGATGAAGAAGAAATTTATACAAGAATGATGTTTGAGTTGAGTCTTCT